ATCGCCCTTTTCAAAAATGTCATTTCTAAATCTCTCTACCTCTCTTGGCAAACAGTTTCTTCACAACTGAAGGTCCGAGATGCAGCTATTGGAAGGAGAGCTGGGTGAAGCAAAAAATCCAGGAGCTCAAAAAAATTCAACTTCAAGTGTAAGTCACTGATGAACATACACTGATGCAAGAGACATGACATGAAATATTAAAAATTGAATTAACAACATAATTACTGTCTGATCAGAAAGAATGGAAATGCCAATTTGTTCTCTTTTGCTCAGATGGGAGATGAAGATGAACAGCACTGACTCTACATCTGCTTAGACTGCAAAAATACATTTGATTCATTTTCAAAGTGTATATCAGTTTTATTTATTGCAATGTAATTTATCATTGTATAAAAAAAATTTATTAAAATGTATTTATTTGGTTTTCCAAAAATTTGGAGCTGTAATAATTAAAAATGAAAAGCCATTTATTATACTGTATAAACTGATAAACCAGCTCCTATCCGTTACAGTCTATATTTATGCAATGAAATTGAGAGTTTTAGAGAGAAATCTGTAAAAGGAGAATTATGCTCAAATAAAAATGATGACCTAAAATCTTTTCATTGGCATTCACTGCATTAATTGCTAGTTAAACTGCTAGACAAATATCCAAAATAAATTGTTTTAATATGATTTGTGATAGCGACATTGTATTATTCTCATTATTGGAGTATTCTCATTACTGGAAAGTGTTCAATTTCAAATAAATTCTGCTGTTTTTCTATTCATCAGATAACTCTGAAAAAATGTTGCACAATTTCCACAAAAATAACGTTAAGCAGCACTGCTTTCAAAATCGATTAAAAATATGTTTCCTGAGCACCAAATGAGCATATTTAAATGATTTCTGAAGGATCATGTAACACCGAAGACTAGAATGGGTGCTAAAAATCAGCTTTGCCGAATAAACAGCATTTTAAAATGTATTAAAATAGAAAATAGTGCTTTAAAATTGTAATATTTCAAAGTATTGTATTTTTTGAACAAATAAATGTTGCCTTAGAGAGCATAACGGACATTAATAAGTTTTATAGACCACAAATTTTTCAACCATATAATTTGAGTAAGAAATACAGTAGCTGATTAGAAAATCCATTTAGAAATAGTGGGGATGTATGGGGTATATAAGCCTACAGCCTTTTTTCAAATTCACTGAATCCAAATTCATTTTTCATTCATCAATAAGCATGCATTATACACCTCACATTTTATTTATTTATTCATTTATTTTTAACAGTCATCTCTAATATTAACCCTTGTGCGTCACTTAAAAAAGTTACACATAGGTCCATAGTGGACAAAAATGTCCATGTCAAAAAACTGTCATAAAAATGTGAAGCTTGGGAGCACCGAGTTAAGTTTGGTCTCATTTTAAAGAAGACCCATGGCAGATTATTGTTGAAGTAAAAACTTTAAAAAGTGAAACAAAAAAAAAGTTATAGAGGTTTTATGAAAATGATTTATGAACGATATTTTATATAATATATATTTTTTATGAAACATGTTGAACTCTATACCTGCTAGAAAATCCATAAATCTAAACAATTTGTGTTCCAAATTTGAGGTTGATATCTCAAAAAATGAGCTTTCAGTAAGATTTTGTTTGGGCGCAGTACCAAATTTTCCCCATTAGATGCCAGCAAAACTCTGCTGGTGCACACAGTGGTTGGATTTGTGTTAAGTTTGGTCTCATTTTAAAGAAGACCCATGGCAGATTATTGTTGAAGTAAAAACTTTAAAAAGTGAAACAAAAAAAGTTATAGAGGTTTTATGAAAATGATTTATGAACGATATTTTATATAATATATATTTTTATGAAACATGTTGAACTCTATACCTGCTAGAAAATCCATAAATCTAAACAATTTGTGTTCCAAATTTGAGGTTGATATCTCAAAAAATGAGCTTTCTGTAAGATTTTGTTTGGGCGCAGTACCAAATTTTCCCCATTAGATGCCAGCAAAACTCTGCTGGTGCACACAGTGGTTGGATTTGTGATTTGCAGTAGAGTTTTTCTCTCTCTCAAATTTTACAAGAACACACACGCACACACACACAAATTTTTTTTATGACACACATACAAACCACACTCTGACATCCATACCAACACACCCACACAGATATAGCTGCATTATTTATCCAATTGGCTCCATAATATGCAGAAGCAGAAAACAGAAATAGAGTATTTTCTTTATAGGCCAAACCTGAAAAAAATGGCACCATCTGGTAAAAAATAATAAAAAATTAAATTTTATTTTTTAAAACAGAATGAAAGCCTGTTAACAAAAATTGCATCATTTTACAGTTAAATGGAACTGCGATTAAAAATAGCAGTTTTAATGGGTTTCAATGGGGACATTTTTGTCCTTAAGGTCCTGAGAGAAATCATATTTTGTACCTAGTGCAAAACAGATTTATTAAAGGAAATTGAAGTGAAATAGTAAAATTCCAATAAAAATACACATCTGTGCCAAAATGTATGCAGTTAGCAATAACACAGGCAAAATTATCAAAAAAACTAAACTGAAAAGGACAAAAATGTCCAAAAGGTCGCACAAGGGTTAAAACAAAAGGCAAATGTCCAAGGCAAACTCATCAATATGCAACACAGGCACCTTTATATAATAGCCTATATGAACCCTATCAAGAAATGCCCTATATTGGTGCTGGAATGGTCCCTAAATTAAAATGCCAAATTGTAAATAAACTATTTACAAAGAAAATAAAAAATAAAGAAAGAAACAAAATAAATGTAAGTAAATAAATAAATTCCAGACTTAAATGATCCTTCAGTGTTTTTAACACTGATTTCACAATATCATTTAATACAGAAAACATTCAGTAAAACTTTATTTGTCCATGCTGTTTGTTAGAGCAGCACAACTCAATGACAGCCTTTATGAATAAAATAAAACAGTTCAGGTCACGTGAATCAAGCTTAGCAAGCAGCCAAATTTCATTTTAGGGGGGCTTAGCCCCCACTGAGGGTATAATATATATATATATATATATATATATAGGGTGAACGCAGCAAAAACTTCTCATTCTCGTCACGTGGTCATGTCGTTGAAGTGAGCACGCAGTATAGGCTACTTGGACGCGATCTCTTCAGGTGCGTTTCCTCAGATGTAGGCTACACGTATTAATTCACTGTAGTTTCCTATAAATCAAACAAACATTTTGACAGCTTGTCTGCAAACAGCTGAGAATGGGGTCATTTCTTGCTTTTCCACTGGCGAAACCGCCTGAGATATTCGATCACTCCAATTCTGCACTTATAGAGGGTCAGTGGCTGGAGATTTTGAATGAACTGTTGATACTCAAGTTCAATATCCTGTTGAGGAGACCGGAGCTAGTTTTAACTTTTTTTTTTACTGTTGTAAATATTTAGTTCATTCATTTAAGCTGGTGTTTACCCCATAATGTGTTGTTTTTCTTATTTTTAAATCACAAGTAGGCCTAATTGATCACAAATAACGATCTCAACAGTAGGCCTACACCAGTGTAGTGTAACGTTAAAGCTAGGGAAAGTGTAGGCCTACTGTATAAGCTTACAGAACAGTAGGCTACAGAAAGAGTAGCTATATTTGTTTAAGATGTGACATTTGATATTCATCTGTGTATTACAGATGATAAAGACAATGTTTATGCGGAATGTCATGCAATTAATGTGAAGTTCTGTGAAACCACATGCATCGGCAGAATATGCACTCCAAAAAAGGAAATGGCCATGTTTTATGGTATGAGTCTCAGAATTTCAGAAACATAAGAAACATTTAGTAATTTGTCTCGCTGTTAAATATTATTGCTGTTATTGGTTATCACAACTTGAAATTTAACTCTAGAATAAGTAGCCTATAATAATGTGTTGTTTCAAGTTAAAAAGTAGGCTAAGTGTTTTTGCTTGATTTAAAATTATAAGTTTAGTTAACTTTAGTTAAATTAAGTGGAGTGGCTGAAAAGCTGAAGGAGAAATACCCCCAGTGGACATCTAAAGACATCTTGAACCTTAGATATCAGTTTGAGGTTTTTGTCAGAGATCAAGGCTATCTTCTTCACTACGTTACCTTGTAAGTGATAGATTCCCACCAATGCATTTTTTAAAGGTCAACCTAGACATGTATCTGTCAAAAAAAATCTGTGATTTCAGCTCTAGGTCGCAGCACTCTCTAATATGACAAAATGTAATTCCCCACAAATCACTAATAGACCAGATTAAATGAACAGTAAATATTGATTATCGTATTCACTCTCCTTTTATTTTTTTCTTTACCATCCCATCATGAACTCTGGGACAGCAATGAGATGCTTGACGTCTTTCAGGATGACACTTCTCCTGAGCAGCGCAGAGCGATGTTTGACTCTAGACACTCGTCAGTACAACGCCATCAACTTTGAGGAGTATCTTCAGGTTATAATTGACACAATACCTTTGAGGACATCTTTTTAATTTTTAATTTTTACTGAATCCTTTAACATCCAAGTCAGTTGGTCGCATTATAACTTACTAAGTGCAAATCAGAAGTTAGGAGAATATAGCTGTTGTTTGCTAAATATTTGTCTCATATCTTTGTCTCTTTCTTTTAGCTGATGAACAATATTAACATTGGGACACCTGTACCCAGGCCTCCCGGGATTGAGAAGGACAGAGATGAGATTATAAATTTAGTCTCAGATTTATCAGAAGTTTACACCTTTTCACAGATATGCTATGGTTTGTTCTAATGTACAGAGTGATCATTTTGTAAAGAAATTACTTAAACTATCTGTATAATATTGTTTACTATTCTCTCCCACCTGGGATTTTCTTTTACAGTAACTAGCATGCAAAGAAAATTACTTTCTTTTTCACTTTTAATGTTTTAATTTTTGTCATTATTGCTGTTTAAGACAAATCTGTACAGCATCTCAGATGGAATTATAATTGTATGTGATACATAAAAGTAGAACAATATAGTTATGTATAAACAGTCTTTTTTATTGTTAAGGATATATAGTCAGAATAGAATTTAAAGCATGATGTATGAGGATAATCATCAGTAATTAATAGAATCTGCCTTCATATGTTAAAAGCGTTTAAAGTCACGTTATTTGCAAAAGCTTCATGGACTTTTGGTGGTTGTGTGAATCGTGAGTTTCAGTCCTGCAGTGGAGAGACGCTGAGTTCCCTGTTCTGTCAGTTTCTCTATTTTGGACCTACAAAGAAAATATAAATTGAAGTCATTTGTTATTTTGGCCATCATAAAAAAAAAAAGAAATCAATAAGAATTCCAGTTTGTCACATTATTTACCGCTCACTGATAGAGAATGTTAGCTTGAATGTTTGCCACAAATTTGAGGTGACTTGTTTTAAATGTCACACACTTACCTCAGACGTGCAAGCGCTGCTCTCACCCACTGATCCTTAGTGCTCGCACATACCTTCTTGTTGTTCTTGGTGAGAAAGCTTGAAGAGAAAGATCATTTTAGAAAGCAATGATGGCAAACTTTCTTCTGAAGACTGCTGATTGTGATTATTATTGGACATCACATGCAGCTGTCTATTCATTGGTATTAATATAGTAGGGACCAAAAGTATGATTTTAAATTCATTTTAATAATACTGATTATATTATACACACTGCCGTTCAAAAGTATGGGGTAAGTAAGATTTTAAAAGAAGAAGAAATTAATCAAAATTAAACAATAAAATAAAACAGAAATGCTCTTTTTTTTAACTGTCTGTTCATCAAAGAATCCTGAAAAAATGTTTTCAAAAATATTACACAAAACATTGATAATAATAATAGAAGTATCTGAAGAATCATGTGACACTGAAAACTGGAATAATGTTTGCTGAAAATTCAACTTTGCCATGACAGGAATAAATTCTATTTTAAAATATATTTAAATAGAAAACATGTATTTTAAATTGTAATGATATTTCACAATATTGCTGTTTTTATGTTGTTTTTTTTTTATCAATTAAGTTCAGCCTTGGTAAGCATAGGAGACCTAACGACCCGGACCATTTCAGCAGTAGTGTATTATATATTTATTTAATGTTTATTTAATGGTTTTAATTGTTTGTTTATTTTTCATTGCAAATTATATTCTTAACATAACAATTTGTGTTAAAAGTTTTTCCGTTTTTGTTTCCGTATTGTTTTTTTCCTATTTGCTTCAATGGCAGTATACCTGAACCACACGAACTTCACATGAAAAACTTGATGATCATGTTCTCCAGCATGATTTGAAAATGATCTGAATATTTGTACAAATTAATTTGCATAAAATGTGTGACCTAGTAATAATAATTTCCTCCTTATTTTACATTATAGCTAATAGTATACTTTTCATTTTTTTTAATTATAATAGTTTTTATTATTATTATTAGTATCAAACTACATTAGTTTGGATGTAGCACGGTGCTCTTTCAGTAAATGCACAGCTAAACAGATGTGTTTTGAGTCTGGATTTAAATGTGGCTAATGTTTTAAATGAACACTTAATCTAATTAACTAACTAATGGTAATTCATTAGATGAAGTCACATATTTTTCAATGTAGTATCCGACTTTTGTACCCCACTGTATGTCTTGTGTTAATGCTGTGGGATATCTGTATCAGCTGTGTGCCCTCATATTTAAATGTATGGTTAAATGTGTCTATGTTTGTGCAACCACATTGTGTGGGTAAATGTGTGAACCCTGACTCATTCCTGCGGTCAGGTTACAGTGACTCACATGATGGCGTCTATGCGACACACCTCGGTGGACTTCTGCTCCATGAAGCCCTTGATCACACCAAAGGGCAGAGGATTGTGAGTGTATTTCACACAACAGGCATAGTTCAGCGGCCCATCTGATATCACACACAACATTTTTCTTACAATCATAGTCATTAGACCCACAGTGCCCATTAAAACAACATCGAAAATGTCAGCTAAATTCACAGCAATGACCAAAACAATGCAAAATGCAGTAAGATCTCCACAAGAAACTTACATGCTACTGGAGTGTGAGGAAACAGGCTCAGAAGAACGCTGCTGATGAGAGTGATGGTGAACAGAGACATTATGCAGCGCATTTCAGTCAGTCAGAGATGTTTGCTATAGCAGTACAGGACCTTATATAGTGAGCGATAAGATCAGTTGCACATGTATTGTAGAATCACAAGTCAGATACAGGCTCTAAAATGGGGACAGCAAACATGGAAAAAGAGGACAGGAAAACCAATATTACCAAAATTACAATGCTTACATAGCAAGTGCCAACCACAGATGTGGTGCAGATTGATCTAAGACTGTTTCTTAGTATCTCGAGCAATTATGCACGTCCCATGACATAGTATTTTTATAAATGTACAAACTGGTGTTGTTGTTAATGATGTAAATCAACATCTAGAATGATGTCCATGAAAAAACACTCTAAATGTCAAAGTGTAGCTCTATTCTTTGCTATGCTATTCATGTTTTTGTTCCTTAAAGGGATAGTTCACCCAAAAATGAAAATTCTGTCATCATTTACTCACCCTCATGTCGTTCCAAACCTGTATGAGTTGCTTTCTTATGTTGAACATAAAATAAGATATTTCGAAGAATGCTGGTAATCAAACAGTTGGTGGTTGCCATTGACTTCCATAGTAGGAAAAAAAAATACTACGGAAGTCAATGGCAACCACCAACTGTTTGATTACCAGCAATCTTCAAAATATCTTCTTTTGTGTTCAACATAAGAAAGCAACTCATACAAGTTTGGAACAACATAAGGGTGAGTAAATGATGACAGAATTTTCATTTTTGGGTGAACTATTCCTTTAATATTTATAAGCTGGTGCATGTCATCACTTGTCATTTATTTTGAATAATTTGTTGCGATATTTCAGATTAATTATTTTATCTGATGGCATTACATGATTACAGGTATGATCTAGACAATTTGAGATTGTTGACATCAATTTGTTGCCTTATCTCGAGCTACCAAATATGTTTATAGGGGAAGTTGTTTATTGTGCAATGTGAGGATTAGCTAAACCTCTTCTTTACCATGACCCATTTAGTGGTGAGAATGACAATTTTCCCCTCTGAGCAAAAGAACAAATTAACATGCACAGCTTCTGTGACCTAGAAAACATCTCAATACAGGAATCTAACCGTCAAGGGGGAGAGTTAATGTAAAGATCATATATTTAGTTAATCTAGCTAGTATGTGTGTCTTTGCGTGAAACTCGCTATTGATTGTGAAATAGATAGAGGTTTTATCATGTTAAACTGCCTCAGTGTACATTTCTGTCTAAAGGCTGCATATCTGATAAAATCGTGAGATATGGAATGTGTAAATTTAGAAAACATCTCATGCAAGGTGCAAGCTGTCTGTTGTGAGCAAGTTCTATTTCTGTCAACTAATAAATCATTTATACTGTATTTCCAGGAAATTGCAACCAGGCTTAATATCCAAGCAAACCCTGTGGCTTTTTGCTGTATTTTATCATGTATTCCCTAACTGCACTCTCAAGAGCCGGCTGACAAAGTGATTTTCTTTGTTATTATTCTTTATTTAGTTTTCATGGATGGATGGATGGGTGGATGTTTAGGTAAATAGATGGTTAGGTGGGTGAGTAGATGGGTAGACAGACAAACATACAGACATAGATGGATGGATGGGTAGGTAGATAGCTAAATGATTAGATGGGTAGATAAATGGCTATATTGGTAGATGGGAATATAAATGGTTTGGTAGGTGGGTAGATGGGTAGACAGACAAACATGCAGACATGAATGGATGGTAGGTAGATAGACGGTAGATAAACAGTTATGGGTAGATGGGTAGCTAAATGGTTAGATGGGTAGATAAACTATTATATGGGTAGATAAATCGTTAGGTAGGTGGGTAGATGGTAGACAGACAAACATACAGACATAAACGGATAGATGGTAGGTAGATAGATGGCTAGATAAATTGTTATGTAGGTGGGTAGATAAACGGTTATATGGGTAGCGGGGGACTAAATGGTTATATAGGTAGATGGGTAGATAAATGGTTAGCTAGGTGGGTAGATGGTAGACATACAAACATACAGACATAGATAGATGGATGGTAAGTAGATAGAAGGGTAGATAAATGGTTAGGTAGGTGTCTAGATAAACAGTTATATGGGTAGCTGGGTAGCTAAATGGTTATATAGGTAGATGAGTAGATAAATGGTTAGGTAGGTGGGTAGATGGGTAGACAGACAAACATACAGACAGACAGATGGATAGATGGTAAGTAGATAGACGGGCAGCTAAATATGATATAGTTGGGTAGGTAGGTGGGTAGATGGGTAGACAGACAAACATACAGACAGACAGATGGATAGATGGTAAGTAGATAGACGGGCAGCTAAATATGATATAGTTGGGTAGGTAGGTGGGTAGACCCACAGACAGATGGGTAGATAAATCGTTAGATAGGTGGGTAGACAGACAGATGGGCTGATAAATGGTTCATTGGGTAGATAAATGAGTAGATAAATGGTAATATGGGTAGATAAATGGTTAGATGGGTGGGTAGGCAGACATATGGGTGGATAAATGTATGATGGTTAGATAAATGGTAATATGGGTAGATGGTTAGGTAGGTGGGTAAATGGGAAGACACAAACATATACACAGACAGATGGATGGATATGTAGGTGACTAGAGAAACAGGCAGATGGGTAGATAAATGGTTGGACGGGTAGATAAATGGTTAGGCCGTTGGGCATAGATAGATAGATAGATAGATAGATAGATAGATAGATAGATAGATAGATAGATAGATAGATAGATAGATAGATATAACTTAATTTAGTAGATAACATTTAACTTGATTAGACAAACATTCACGAGCATTCACTTGAAAAATGTGTGAGAAGATGATGTTGCTGTCCACAGAATGCTGAGGTGTGCTGCATTAGTGTATAAACTTATGCTGAGTAACCACATTCATCTCCCACTGTCTAAATAGCAGTCTGGCTCTCTCTGTACGTACAGCACAGCTGAATTAATCATCGCTGCGACACCTCGCTCTCCTTCTCAATATCTCTCCACTTTTCTCTTTTTATTGAGACCTTTCTTTCTTTCTGTCTCTGTCTCCGCTCTCCCCCGCACTCTGCTCTGCAACACACGTGAATCATATTGTACGCCTCCTCTCGTCTGTGCCAGAGCGAGTGGGACTTTCTGCTCGTGCACTTCAATCTTTTCACACATTTGCTCTCAGTCTGAATAATTACCGTATGTGGGTGGTTGTAAGCTTCTCTCATTTTGATTCCTTTATAATGACCCAGTGGGAGGTTAACAAATTAATACCTCAAATGATGAATCTGGAGAGACAGAGAGAGAGAGAAACCGATAGAAGACATGTCAGGTCACCAGCTCTCTCATTCATTGCTCTCTGACGATAAATATTCGATTCTGAGATTAAAATTAAAGGGGTAAATGTTACACCTGGGTCCTTGCAAGCCTGAAGACAGACCGATAGATCACCTGTCAAAGTGTGTACATTCAGGCTAGACCTTGCGTACGTTCATTTGAAATGACTGTGAAATCACGGTGCACAATCACTGGTACGTATTTGACCTAGTTTGACCTTGAGGTCAGAGGTGAGACAGCCATATATCTTGACTGTTTATTTATGTATTTATTTTTAAAGGCACATCTTTTCCCTCCTCATATCACTTTGTGTGTGTGTGTGTGTGTATGTGTGTGTGTGTGTGTTTAGACATATGATTTGCATACACTTTTATCTAGCCTGAAAGTAATATTTTTTAAGTCAGTGAAACTAGATAATTATGTTCTTGTGCAATTGAAACAAATATATATATATA